TTCAGGCCTAAAATGTGGAATATAACATGGGTGCAAAAAAAAAGGCCTCAGTCATGAAGGGGTTAATAAATGTTATAACTAGCAGCCTGCGCTTGTCTGGTTTTCATTGTGCTCTGACAAAGGTCCTGGCTGACAACATGAAGTGGACAGTTCAAGCCCTAAAATGGTTTGGTTGGATCCCGAACCTTTCAGTGCCATTGTCGGAGCCGACTCATCACTTGGAGTATCTGAGCCTTATCCTGGACACAACTCTTCACCGGGAGAATCTTCAATCCCCGCGCTTCCAGACTCTGCTATCCAAGAGCTGACCGACTCTTGGCTTTGGCATGAGAGTCATGGGGCTCATGGTAGCCTCCTTCGAGGCAGTCCCATTTTCCCACTTCCACTCCTGGCCGAGGTGGACGACTCCACACCCGCTGCATCCGGGCAAGGTCATGTGTGACCACGACACAAACCTGTTCACCCTCATTAACCTAGGGACAGATCCAGGGACACAAGACTCCGCCCACTCACTCGAGTAGTCGGCATAAAGCCGCGGTCCGCCGTTTGATCGGCGTCCCACTATTATTGAAGCAGGACGCTGATCAAACCGACAGCCCTGCTACTCCAGGAACCACCTGCTAGAGGAGAAATTGCTGAGATCCTTCCACACTATACAGAGCCTCAAACAGCAAGTATTGCTACCATAGCCATAGGGCTATGGTAAGGAGATCCACAGCACTTCCTATGCTATATGCTTACTCAACTGTCTGCTGTATTACAACCTAACCTATGGCATTTCTATATGCCTACTCAACTGTCTGCTGTGTTACAACCCAACCTATAGCATTACTATATGCCTACTCAACTGTCTGCTGTGTTACAACCCAACCTATAGCATTTCTATATGCCTACTCAACTGTCTGTGTAATGCAAATGAACCTATCTCAGAACCGAATGCCTTATCACCTGTATGCTTGGTAACCGTTTATACTAAATCATAGATATATGCCTACATAAATCTGTCTTCCGTGTCACAGGGGGATATCATATATCCGTGGCCTCAAAATAGTTGCTAGTCTAAACCATAGCATAACCTCCTGCTTCACCCGGAAGACCTACCTTAACGGTGAACGCAGTCTTTGTGCTAAACGGGGTATGATGTGAAGCAGCTCTCTCCAGGCCTTATCAAAACCTTGGGCATCGGAGGTTGAGCTGCGATCTGATACCCGTTCTAAAGCCATTTCCACAGCTGTGGTCCAAGGACCTTGTTCACCCCTGGGGGGTGGTATTACAGGGCCCAGCCTAAAGCCGTGTAAGGGGCCCCAAGATTTCTGACGGCTGCCCTGGACAGATCACACAACGTTCCTTGCCTGGCTCGTGTCCTAAACCTGGTTATGCAGAACTTCCTATAATAATAAACAAACAATGTGCTTTGTAAGGCCAGGAGAGTTTGTGGACACTTCGCTCTTACCTGGACATGGCTCACCTGGCTGATATGCAGCACCAGCTGCCGGCCGACTGCTATGCGACACTCTGTGAGTATGGGACGAGTCAGGGCTCTGGGGATCTTGAGTATTATTCCCTATTTCTGCATTTCCTCCTGGTTGTAGGGATCCCTCTGCTGACCAAGTTACCTCCGCTGATCTCATTCCCTGAAGGAACAGCAGCAGCCTCAGCGCCTCTTCTCAGGTCTCTAAACTGACGTTGGCAGACCCGGCTACAGGTACCAACCATCATAGACTTGTACCCGCCCCCTCCCCCGTCCGTTCTGCCAGTCAGCGCTGGCGGATCGGAGCGGGGAGAGGGAAATCCAGCCCCTCCCGTCACGGTAGAGAGCCGTGACAGGATTAAGAAGTGAGCGAGCGCCGGTATGTGTTCGCTCACCTCCCGATCTACTGAGCCGACCTGCGACAGTCTCATTGTCACAGGTCGGCTAGAACTATGAGGTGAGTGAAAAGCACTCCCCTCATAGTTCTCCTTTAAACCCTAAGGTTAAAAGAGAACAATGGGGGTTAAGTGTTTTTCCCCATAGTCCTCTTAAGGGTCACGGGAGGACATATTCTAACCTCCTCCTGTGACCCAAAGCTCAGTATATAGCGGGCTATGAATATACTGAGAGTGCTGCAGCCGGGACGGACCCCGGCAATACTGTTGAGATCCGCCCAGCTGCGTGAGTGACAGCTGGATCTGCCTATCTAGAGGCAGAGCCAGCTGTGCCCGCCCCCTCCCCCGTCCGTTCCGCCAGTCAGCGCTGGAGGATCGGACAGGGGAGGGGAACCCCTGCAGGGAGCCATGAGTGACAGTCACGGCTCTCTGCAGGGAGATGATCGAGAAGTGAGCGAGTGCCGGTATGTGTTCTCTCACTTCCCGATCTACTGAGCCGACGTGTGACAGTTTCATTGTCATAGGTCGGCTAGAACTATGAGGAGGAGTGAAAATCAATCACCCCATAGTTCTCCTCAGGGTAACAGGACACAAACTAGCGTCCTCCCGTCACCCTAAGCTCAGTATATAGGGAGCTACAGCTCGCGGTATACTGAGACGCCGGAGCGGATCCCGACAATAATCTCTGGATCCGCCCAGCTGCGCGAGTGACAGCTGGCTCTGCCTATCTAGAGGCAGAGCCAGCTGTACCAGCCCCCTCCCGTTCCGCCAATCAGCGCTGGCGGAGCGGGGAGGGGGGAATCCATCCCCTCCCCTGTCACGGCAGAGAGCCGGCACAGGATTGAGAGGTGAGCGAGCGTCGGTATGTGTTCTCTCACTTCCCGATCTACTGAGCCGACCTGTGACAGTCTCATTCACACAGAACGAATGTCTCCGGGTAAACAGTTAGGCAAATGTTTTTTATAAACGGCCCCCCGGAGTGTTCCGCCGTTGTAACATTATCTGCATCTCAACCGCTGAAGGAAACACCTGCCGTCTACAGGAGCCGCTGACATACTTTCCCAGCGCCGGAAACCTGCCACCAATCCGCCGCAAGAGTGCAGCTCTAACATGCCACATCCTCCAGTCATGTGTGAAGGGGATCGGTCAGGACAGAAAGATACTGGCAGCCATTGCTGATTTCTCTCTGGGTGTCATGGCGATCCAGCACGTTCTGACTCCCTGACCTGGGACACAAACATGGATGGGGGGGGGAAAGCGGTCTGACCCAGGACACGTTTAAAGATGCAGGGAGGTGTCTCACCCTTGACACATGGAGGGGGGACTCCCCATCTGTAGCTTCAAGCCCTATCAGAGATTCAAGAAAGGGGGTGCGGGTTCACAAAAGCTGGAGCAGTCACCCATAGCAACGAATACGCTTCTTTTTTCAGTTTCTTCCATTAAGCTCTGAAAATTAAAGAGAAGCTGATTGGTTGCCATGGGCAACTTCTCTGCCCCCCCCCCCCCC